TGAAAACCATGTATTCTAGATAGGCAGTTATCCTTGGAATATACGTAATTTAAGGTTCACATCTAGAAGCCAAACAAAATTATTGTTGGCACTGTGAAGCACTTTTAGAACTATGCTTGTTTTCTAAGGACAAATGAGTTTCCAAGAGGCATGATGAAAAGCTTCTCGATCCCTTTTAGACCAGAAATAAGCAATGCAACTCTGAGCAGATGGCAGACATCCACTGTGCCAGGATTCAATACTGCCGTGAAATGGACCATTTATATCAGAGATTAAAGAACGAGATACATGTACAAGGGTGATGGGTTTGGGAAGTTGCATGAATGCACAAGCCTTCCTCCTACATTTGAGATATGGGGTATTTTCCATTGGTTCTAGGGAAGTAAGTCAATGCTTCATGTAGGAATGTGAACGTGCCAAACATTTTTCAACAGATTTGAGGCTTCTGGGCTAGCAATCTTCCACAGGGACAACAGCCCAGAAAGAGCCAAAAAAGGAAGGGAAAGAAAAATCATTCCCTCTTAGCAGCCACCTTCTCCACCAGGACTCCACTGCATATTCCTCATCATGTTTCATAAGCTGATGGTCTCTGCAACAGATAGCAGCAACCCCACTTGCCTTGCAGTTCGAGAAAAGTCTTGGCAGAAAGACATGGACACACATCCCTCTTTTGCCTCCAGCTGCACTGCTAGAATAGGATGCAAACCAAATCCATGTCCACCTCCCTGCTTCCCACACCAATAATCTGCTTGCCCCATAGATCTGCCAAGCCTCCTCTGCAGTTCCCAGAGGGACAGAGAACATGGCAATAGACTGGTGAACACGAGTTCTCATCCTCCGATGAAAAAAGTGCTTCTCAACCAAATAGAAATGCATGGGAAGAGAGGAGGGGGATAAAGTACTGCTGGGAATCGAAGACTAGTACTTCCTAGCTTCAACTTTTCCACTAAACTTTGTGACCTTAATAATGTTCTATGCTTGCTCCTACATTCTCAGTAACATTTGAGCACTCAGACCTCACATCTGTCCCTGTGGGAATAATTGATATCCTGACTGAACCTGGAAGGTATGCTGTTGGGAAGCCTCAGTCTCAACTACACAAAAACAAGGAAGCTCCAAAGTCTCATGGTGTTCCAGCTGCACACAGGCAAGGAAAGGACTCTCCGGAATTTTTGCAAATATTTTCTTGCCAAATGTGTGAAACAGATTTTTTTTTTTCCAGACATATAATTTTCTTAAATTTGATCAATGTCAGCAGAAAGCAGAAAAAACACAGAGGTTAATCTGATGTGAACATAGAGGATCACATTTTTAACTATTTTAATAGGACAACCGAAACTTTTAGGAAGGGCTGCTGCTGACATTTATTTCATCTGAAATATTCAAACTGCTGCAATACGAGTAGCATGGATGAAGTACAGAAGAGAGTGAGCTCCATCTTCTGTTGCCTAGGATAATATCTCACTGCTTCACAAGTTCAGTTTTTCATCTCCTGAAGGCTCAACAGGATTCTTCTACACTCATCACAGAGGCATACTTCCCATCTTTGTTACTCTATAATCCCGACTAATCTCATTGCTGCTTGACACACTGCCCTCTGCCCTTACCGAGGCAGCTTTTAAGTGATATACAGCAGATATGCAATACCTCTTGTACAGAAAGAAAAGGTAAAACATTCAGGAAACAAATTACACCAAGAATTCCTGGAGTTTTCTGTCATGCTTCATCACCCTGCCAACCAGACAGCAGGAGAAAGGACAAAATGTTTCTCTTTGAAAGAAACAGAATCCAAAGCTTCCATTTCTCTGTTAAGAGCACACACAAAACAGGGCACAGACAGCTGCACTGTACCGGGGTTCAGCTTAAGACTAAGGTCGGAAGACTACAGCTAGATCAAAGATGGGGATGGATTTCAAGTTCTGACTGTGGATCCAGAAGATACTGCCTAATTTTGGAAGTCTTCTATATACCTCCATGTTCCTCACACATGCCTTACATGCTACTCTGCCAACACCCAAAATAGACTTATCTTTTGTACTATTTACTTCACCTTTGAACGAAATGTTGGGTGGACAAAATACAGTGCCTTCAGGTTCCTCTTGTACCTGGTGTAGAGAAAGAAAAAATTATTTAAAAGTTACTAGTAATTAAGCTAATCTCACAACTCTACTATCAAAATGTAGTTTATTTTGCTTAAGTGCCTGTGATGTAATTTTATAAAGTTAGATCTAATATAAGGGCAAAGACCAGAAAAGCAAACGTAAAGAGAAAATTAAATTATTATTTTTCAAGTAAAGACATAACAGCCTGCAGTCTTTTACATGGACAGTGAAAGTTATGGACAAATTATGACTGCCAATGTTACCCAAGTCTCCTCTCTCACAACTAGCAAAATACTTTAACAAAGCCAGGCTTCAGAAGCTCCACCTCTGGATGGAGACAACCAATACACACAGTACACCTCTCTAACAGCTCCAGAAGAGAGACAGCAGAGGACAGCACTTCCTGGTTTAACAGATGGTTTTGAGAAGGAAAGAAAGGTTATCTTCTTCCCTCTTGCTTTTGTAATTTATTTAGGTCTCTGTCCCAGCAAAAAACTCTCTCACAAATACATGGGAAACCAAATACAGGGAGTGACAAATGTTTGCATAGGACAGAGGAAGATCAGAAGAGGTTCTTTTCCTATTGACACTCACTTGGCATCAACAACATCATAGAGTTTCTTCAAGAAATTAGAGTCTAGTTGATTGTAATCATTTGTGAGGGTATGGAAGTACACCAGGACATACTCCTTCACTGCAATATGATCCATGACATGGATGAAATACAGAAGAGCCTGAGACAGAAAGAAATGAAATTTATATTTGTGAAAAAACTTTTTCACAGTTGCATTACATTTTAATATGCTTCCTTTAATTCATTCACAAATTGGGAATCACGAGGCCAGGTGCCATTACATTTCAGCTACAAAAGCAAGGTGAACATTCCAAGTCTTAAACTTGGCTGTAATAACATAGATGCCTTTTTTATCTAGCTGACCTCACAGACAGAGATAAGTTCTTGCTGTTTCCATGAAAAACTAATTTGACCTGTTACTTTTCATTCTTCAAGTTTTGTCAGTTATAGAAGCAGGGCAAGTCTTTTTCTTCTTGAGTAGAAGAAGGAGTCCATGCTGGGCCCATTTTTCCAAAAAACAGTCCAGTTCCTCCTTGAAAAAAGCCACCTCAATACACACAACGCTTTATAAGGGAATAAATTTTTATCTGCCTATACAAAAGTTTTCATCTAATCTTTAAGTCTTCTACATATAATGTTTTACTATTAACATTGAACTGCCCTTATAATCAGACTCTTACACCCTGAACATTCATATTCAACCTATACAATTCTAGTTTTACTAAGCCTTACCTTTTCCATGTCTATCAATGTCACAGGGATATTCCTTCCAACCACCACCATCACTGTGCGACCACAGTTATCTACACCTACATAAAAAAAAGAAAACCCAATCTTTAAACTTCTCAGTTGTCAGGTTTTTGGTCCATTCCAAATCAGGGAGAACCAGCCGCAGCCCAGAATTTTTGCAACACATCTGACTTCTATCTTAACAAGAGAGAAAATACACTTAGAGTTACTGTTCTCACTATACCAGTAGCTACTCTGAATTTAAAAAAGGTTCATCACATCCAAGAAGCTTAAGTCTTAAGCCCTGCAAATTTATGTTGCCTATGTATTCCATATTTACCTAAATTTCAAATAATAACATGGTTTTATTTAAAAAAAAAGAAACCCAAACAACCCAAAACAAACCTTCACTTGCAGTTCTACCACCAAAGCAAACTTCTTCCTAAAAACCATGTTCTGAAATCTAGTGCATGGATTCCCAGAGCATGTCATGGACACCTGCAGCCCACAGAGCTTGGTCTAAGGCAAACAAATTTAAAATTGCAGCTACTGAGCATAGTATTTGCACAAAAATCAAGGTAAGTACCTGGATTTTCAGGAGGCCAAAGATATCAGCCAAAGTGCTAAACTGACTTTTGCTGCAGAAACACAGTGATGCTCTTGAGACGCTGATTACTTGCCTGTTTCTTTCTGTCATAGTGCAAAGCAGCATTAAGCCACTGGAACTATGGCAAGTTTTTATGTCTGAGTATGATGCTACCTAAAGAGAAATAGTGAACTAAAGAGTACAGGTTCCCTATCTCTACTTCCCATGCTGCAAGGACCTTGCAGTTATTTTCCTCCACTTGACTCTCCACTGCATTGTTGAATCTCTCCCTAATCTCCCCATTTACCAAACTGCACTGCCCAGGGTACTCAGCCATTAGCACTAGGAGACACATACAGAAGAGTGCAACATATACCTAATCTGATGTTTCCCTCAGGTTAAATAAAGCAAGCCATTTGTTTGGGAAACCTGTATTAAAAGTTGCTTTGGTAACTGCTTATTCTCTACACTAATCATTTGAAAGCAACATTCATTTCTTTGTAACTAAAGGGTGGAGCTAGTTCTTCTTTTGGCCTGGATTATCTAACACAGCGCACCTTATGCATTGGTTTAATCTAACAGTACTGATTTACATCTAAAGCTACAGATAATACAGGATCGTCAGACTGTTAAAGCAAAGCAGTTTGGGAGTTTACCACACAGTCTTCCAAAGCCAATAAGAGAATACTCCTGCTTTACTGCAGAGTTGCTGCCTAGTTCCTGGCCAGGCTTCTAGTTTAACAACATGGCTTACTGTATAGTCAAGGCCACATAATATATTTTTGTTTTGTACTTTTACTTTAAGACAATATACATCAATCATCAGTACCCTGAACTTACCTGTCTGGTACAAAGCTTTAAGAGAAGCAATATCAGAGAGGTCTTCGGCCCTTGCCTGACACAGCCAGCGATTATAACTAGAAAAGCAAAAACATCTGGTCAGATCTAATCCCCCTTTGGATTAGCATTAGAAGCCTGAAGAGGTATATAGGAAGGGAAGGACAAAACAAGCTCTTTCTGACTGAGCCCTTAGTCTAATGTTGTGGTTTTCTGACTTATGGAGCTACTACAAAGTTGTTAAAGAAAAAAGTGTTGAGGAGAAAAATAATAAAAGTTGAACGTCTCGCATACCTACTGATTTTCACTAGGGCAATGAATACACACCAGCTAGAAATTATAGTGGTGTTGCATTTGGGCTGAAGAGATCTCAGGGGTTTTTCCCATTAGGAATACTTCAGTGGAAAAAAATTCTTTAAAAATTCTACAAGTTGAACACAACTACGCAGCAACCAGTGTCACATATGGATTTTTTTTTCCTCTTTGAATGGTGATCAGTTTAGTGCCTTATCTGAGAAAAGAAGCCAAGCATCATGTCTGAAAATGACTTCAGGGCTTCCAAGAAAGTCAGGGGGTAACAAAAATTTTAAAAAAGCAAAAAGCTAAAAGCCTCAGGATTCGTTTACTTATCTTTCTGTTTTGAAGGATGGAAGAAAAGTGTTTTGAATATATACCCAAAGCTTCAGGAGCAAGTAGGCAGTACTGAAAGCAGGTGATCCCACTACAGAACACGGTGACAAAACAGTGACATCTTGTGGCAAAGAGGTAAGGCAGCTGGTCAAATGCACTGGGCATGTTAGTAGGTTCATCACTAGCTTTTTCCTCCCCTTTTCCTCTTACGGCCCCTTCCCTTCTCCTTTCAGGCCAAAGAAGCTACCACAACGATCCAGGGTAACACCAGGCTTTATCTGTGTTTCCTTGCCAGAAGATGAGGCTTCACAGATAACAAAGTCATCATAAGGGCTGGTCCTCTGAACAGCTAACTAACCCAAAACATTCACACAGACAAGGAAATTCTCACTTCCTCTGATGCTGTTTTTGCAGTGCAGCCTCTGATAACTGTCCCTGCAGGATGAGGCGTCTCTGCTTATCAACATCTCCCTCCATGCGGGCAAAAGCATGGGAACCAATGAAAGACAAATCTGCCTCCAGACCCTCTTCATCTGAAGCATCTGCAGTAGAAACAAAGGTAGCATAAAATGTTCAAGCTGCATACAAGACAGCAACGCTGCTGATGAATTGCTATATATCTCAGCAAGCCAGGCCAGTCATTGGGCTACAACTAACACAAAAACCCACAGTGTACCATGATGTGGCTCTGATATTTAAGCAGTACCACTGACAGATTACAGCATGTAATTTATAACTATGAACCCTCTTAAAATGCTGATTTACCTGGAAACTAACTGGACAAGTCCTAGTCATCAGCTTGTAACAATGGGATAACTGTTAACTCTTTCAAAAATGAAGGTCTGGAGAGAGCGAGTTGGGCTTTACAGCTGTGCTACTTGACACAGAGGGAATTTGGAGTCTGATCAGCAGGAGTAGGTACATCAGTTATCAAACTTTGAGCAGGAAAAAAATTGTCTGTATCCTCATTGCATATTCAGCCTTATGCCAGCTGGCCATGCAAAAACAGAAAGCCTTTGAAACCAAGTTATTCCAAGTTATGTGCTTTCGATGGTTTAAGACTTCACTTGAAGAAGTATAAACCTTTCACAGCACTGCTTAATGAACAAGGCAAAACATGACAGCTATGCCCATTTATATATGAAATTGTTTTGCCATATGCATCTCCCTTCCTCAACCCTGACATCTAGGCAACCTCTTTACAGACAAGACTTCTTTCACTGAGCCTTGACAGCTGTTTCCCAAACAATGACCTCTGGGTTGATCTAGTTCTTTTGCCTTTTAGGGAGTTTCTGCTAGTTTTCATTGAACATGTACTAGTTTGATGCACATGCTGTATCAACAGAATCTTATCACTTGAGACAACATTTGCTAATACATAAGCAACACTTTGCTAATACATAAGTCAATTAACATTAATGGCTTTTTAAGTTAAGGGCTGCACAAGATTCTGCAAAAAATTTGCAAAGGTCCTAATCATTCTTGGAGAAAATTGCAAAGGTAATGAACTACTCTAGACAGAACAACAGCTCTACTGCATCCTGTAGCCACGTAACTCCACACAATAAGGCAGAAAGCAGTAGTTACTGCTGTGGAACGCACGAAGCCAATAAGGCAGCTTAACAACTGTCTTCATTATAGCCTGCCCTAGGTGAGGTGGGGTAGCAAAACATCTCTCTGCTTCCCACGTGCCTTCTCTGTTTCTCCATCAACTTTTACCCAGAGATACTTATCCCAAAGTTCAGTTAAGGACTCACCATCTGGAACACCTGGCTTTTCAGTAATCCTGATCTGTCGCTCTGGTACTACAGGCTCCCCTTCTGCATTGCCAATATCTGCAGGGAGGTAAGGCAAGGATTGTATCTCTTCTTCCAACGATCTTGGAAAATACAGAGGCAGCAACTTCTGGTAAGTAGCCTACAAATAAGAAAAATGCGTGAAGGGTCTATCACGCATCATTGCTCCTCAGTTAAGTAGCACCTGCCCTCGTAAGCAGGGACTTTCTCAGTGGTTTGGAGGCAAAGTATCACTTCCCTCAATGGCTTACTTTGGGCTGCTACCTGGCAATAAAGGCAGATAACCTTGATAAAGGTTAACTTTTTTTTTTGCCACATTGGCAAATAACCTTAAGAAGACTCAGCTTTAACCTGCATGACCTCAGGTAGATTGCAGATACTTTAGCTTTGTAATGAAGTTACAATATGCATGGATGACTGACTTCAGTAAAGGCTGCTTATATTAAAACTCACCACTACACAGATCACCTTTAGTGAGCTGATTGGGAATAAAGAAAAAGCAACAACCAACCACAAGAAACTCTCCCCACGTGGATGAAAACTGAAAATCTCAACTGAACGCTGTAATACTCCATGTGTTCTTTCCAACTGATGAGCAGTTTTAGAATCCCCAACATGCTATTTTCCTCATCCAGATGCCACAGAACCTGAACACAGTGTGACTGTTCTGCCCAGGAACTGTCATTAGCAAGTCTAATACACAAGAGAAGTCAATATTCAAACTGTTACCATCTGTCTAAACACAAATAATTAAATATCAAGCGTATTACTTCAACAAGCAACATTTAAGATAATTGTAGGTGATCTGTGGAAATGCTAAACTGGTCCTTTTAAAGCACAAGGGAAGCAGCATTGTGTAAGGAGGAAGTCTTGAAAGAGGAATTTCTTTCCTGGCTGGCAGATACCATCCAGCGCAACTGCATGCTATAACTTCCAATATTGATTTCTGTTCATGGCTCAGGAACACAGAAGCGGAAAGATTCTGTACATAGTGACTGCTAAGAGCATAACGGTACTGGAAAAAATGCTAGGCTAGTAGGACACAGAAAGATGCTGTGGGACCAAAAGTCTATGTGATTTGAAGAGGAAATCCAAATCCAACTCTTCAATGCAGGAGTTAATACTGTTGCAGAGAAGATCAAACATGCCCATGAATTCTGGTGCCAAGAACATCAAGGAGATACCTCTTCAAGCTCGGAGACTGCAAACACCACCTTCTCCAGAGTCTCTCCATGAATCTCCAGGAACCTTCTAACTGTGCCTGCAATGAAGAATATTAAATGCAGTTAGCAAAACAGGAGGAGAAATTTACATACACGGCTACAGGTGAGGAAGTAAATATCTCTTCTCATACAAAATAGCTTCACAGGCTGTATGCAAGTGTGGATTCAGCGGTAGTTTCAGATCAAATGAGTTTTTAGCCACATAGGAATTTCCATCTCCACTCTCTCCTGCTGCTCACTTTAGAGATGGATATAAAAAGAGTAAAAGTCTCTCTCTGATTCTAGCTTGCTCAGTATTCCTTAGTCTGTGAATGTGATTCAATAGCCCTGCAAAATCAAGCCAAACATTTCCTTTAAAGAGTCTCCTGCAAACTGCCAAAACCAGACTATCCTAGAACAAGTCATGGTGCCACTCATCAAGTCATCAGGAAAGCAGGATGATAAGCAAGCTACAGCAGAAGCTGGTACAAAACAGAGTCAGCCACACAAAACCTCTGGGGTCAGCTATGCCAAAGAAGCATATAAAAATTTTATTTGTAAATCATGAGAGAAATTATTACCTCTATTACTTTTTTGGACTCCCTCAAAGTTATAGCATAATCCAGGGACAGTCAAGTTCCTAAGCCTTTGCAGCTGAGGTGAAAAAAACCAGAAGTTTTGTAACCAAGCTCCCACTCAGACTTATCCTTGTACAGAGGAGGTCCTTGAGCTGCAATAATCTCGACACATGTCAGGATTTTCAAGTGCTTTCCTGTCAGACTGCCAAGAGAGGAAGTGTCCAAACAAATAGGTTGGTCTAGCAGTATTTTATCAAGTAACATATAGCCCTATAGAGACAACAGAAGAAATCAATAAAGAAAAGATGTCTACTGTACAGAGAATACATTAGCGTGAGTTCTTCAAGAAACAGCAGAGGAAAAAAAAAGCTATTTTCAAATACTTCCTCTACAGAAATTAATGTGTAATTGGCTTGACCTGCAACACTATTTTATGGGGCAAATGCAGTGGTGTGGTTCCACAGCAAACAGCTTTCTGAATCTATGTGAGCAGATGTTTTCAGATATGCCATTCGACAGGCAGACAGCAGATAAAACAGACTAATCTGTTTCTCCAGTGTCAGCACCTCTGCTATACTGGAGTAGGAAAGATTTCTCCAGTCAGCTTGCACAGCAAGAGGAAAACCCACTCTTTCATCCTATTGTGCAGGAGTTATCATGCATGAAGGTTCAGGGACTGGGTGGTGGTGGTGGAAAGCAGACAGGAGCAGGCCAACAGAAATGAAAGAGTCAAAAGAGAAAAGGGAAAAGTAAGAATGAGACTACTATATAATATTTGTCTGTGAGCACTTTTCTATTCTTTAAGTATTAACTTAGGAAAATAAGAAAAGAAAAAAAAGAAGAAAACTTCCTAGGAACCAAGTCATCAGGAAAGCAGGAACTTCCTAGGAAGTTGTCTGTTTTGTTTTTAGTAGCCTTCATTTTTTTTCTTTAATATAGTTTCCTCTGGAACCCAAACAAGTTTGAAAACTTTTAGCATCTACAATGCTTTTTGGTAAGAAGTTGCATTGTTTGAAGGTTCTTATTTTGGGAGAGAGCGAACAGCTGATTCCTATTCACCACTTTCATGCCACTCATGAGTTTGCAGACATCTATGACATTTCCTTCAAGTCCAGCATATTCCAGTCTGAAAGAGACTTTAGCTTCTTAGCTATTTCTTTCCTTTCCCTATTCCTGTTGACCTCCTCAGCTTCTAATTGTACTGTATTCTTTTTGAACATGAAGCTTTAAAGGGTGGGCAAAACAGATTTACAGCATAACATTCTTCATTCTGTTTGTCTTACTCAGCTTGCTGTTTTGAACACAACTGAGGTGTTGCTTTCATGGAACTACTATAATCTCAATATTTTTGCTCCCTACGATTAGCCCATCATTTTGCATGTGAAGGCAGAAGCATATAGGAAAAGGCCAGTGGGGGAAGAATATCACTCAATGTTTCAATATGCTGATGACACTAAAATCACTGATGAAATTCACTCAGTTGCTTGAGGTCCGTCTACAGCCACTGTTTGAACAGTGCATCTTTGCTATTATGAACAATTTCCTGTCACCAGCAAACTCACCTCACTTCAGCATCTTTTCCAGGCTATTAATTAACGTACTGAAGACTGCAAGTTTCAGCACAGATTGCCATGGATCTTTACTAATGCCCTCTCAACTGAGAAAGGATCATTTGTTTTCATCCTCCATTTCCTGATCAACCATGGAAGGCCTTGCCTTTTTACAGCCTCTAAAAAAACTTCAGCACCATAAAAAAAGGTTTCCCCATAACAACAGCAGTCTGTCAGAGGTAAGCAGTCTGATGAATACTGCCATCCGGTTTACATTAATTTCCTACAAACTTACGCAGTGCTATGTGTGTTGCATCTTCCAAGGGGTAGCATCTTTTCAGAGAGTTGATGACACAAAATCCTACGGAGCACATTGCCTGTTCTCTGAAATCAAGAAGAAAAATGAGTAGATGGTCAGATGAGAACAAATATCTGTCAGTACAGTAGATAACACCAGTACACTTTTTTTTCCTGCCTCTATGCAGCAGCAACTCTTTCAGGTTTTCACAGAAGGATTCTTTCCTGGCAAGCTGTAAACATACCACTATTAAACAGAGAAGGAGGAAACAATTAATGATTCCACACTGTTTCCTCTTGTGTTTTTTCTCGGATTTCTCCTTCCACCTCAGCTATGTTGTTCCTGCAGGTTCTCATACCCTGAATGAAGAAGCTCTTCCCTCAAGCTCCCTGCAATCCTTTCCAAAATACTTTCCTTCCTGTATGGGATTGACAGTGAGGAGCAGGAGGGGAAAAGAAGGTGCTCTTTATTGCAAACATTCTCTTATTCCTCCCTCTGACCTATCACTTGTTTTGTTAGAGGTCTGGACATAGACCAAGGTAGCTTACTCAATCCTAGGTATGATTAGACAATCACTGGCATGGACTGATACATACTTTAAGATCAGTAAGATGCTTCCAGCAGAGAGCCACATTTTCAGAAGAGTAAAGCAGAGGTGTTGCCAATAGTCAGAGGAGTCTGAGCAAGCTCAGAGTTGCTAGACAATTCCACAAGTGTCAAAAGTTACTCTAGAGAACAGGTTGACTGAAAGGCATTCAGAATTCAGTAAGAAGAATTATTAGAATTTTTAAATTGTTTTCAACATGTTTCAATCCAGGTCTGACTTTACTTGTTAATTCTGAAGCAGAAGAAAATTGGCACACAGTAGAAACCTTAGCTGTAATCTTGATTATGAAACAGTTAACTACTGCACTGTAACACCTAGTCCAGACTTGGAAGCAGTCTGCTTAACCTCAAGAAATTTTTAAGTGTATTTTCTGACATTGCTCTTGTTCAGGTATTTTTTGTGACTGCTACCATTACAACAGGTATGACAGAAGAACAGAATACAGGAAAAAAACACAGAAAAAGAGAAAGAAAAAAACTATTATCTAAGAGGAAGTAGAAAATACCACAGATGAAAGAGGAAAAACTACAAACTCATCTGCAGCAACTGTGGATTTAGAAATATACTTGCATCCTGACACACAATTTTAGATGGCTGCTGTAGGAAGGCAGAGAGGCCAAATATATGAACTTACACAGCAGTCACATCTGCCTGTGGATATGTCCATGTGGCTTCAGAGACACATGAAGGTCCTGCTTAAGCAAGCTCATGTAAAGCTTTTCGCAAAATGGAATTATCAATGCTGCTTCTCCTCAGAGTAACTGAACACTGCACAGCCCTAGCTACACTATTTCAGGACTTGAACCAGCTCAGCACATTTTATCTACACTGCAACACAGATAACAAGAGGCATGAAGCCACTAATGTTCTCATATCCTTAACCAAATCCAGTATACGTGAGAAGATATTCACAGCCATTTGGCTTCTGTGCAGATCAGAGTATCTAGAACAGATGTGCTATGGATAGCAAGCCCTCACATAAGTTGCCCTGTGCTTACTTTGCTAGCTGCAGGACATTGCGGTAACAGCTGTAGAGAGAACTTTCGGCTGCTGTGCGATACCGGCTTTTGTATTTAGGTCCCACTGTGTGAATGATGAAACGTGCAGCCAAATTAAATCCTTTGGTGAGTTTAGCCTCGCCTGTCCTGCACCCTGAAAAAAAAATAAACACAAGGATAAATGCCTATGTCATAATAAGAAAGCTAGAAGTATTCAAGCCCTTGACTTCCTCCAGAGTCAGACAACTCTGCTTCAGGTACAGTCAGTGAAGTCAGCATCCTCTCTCATAACAGCTGCTTAGTATCAACCAGTGATGTTGAGGAGGTGAGAACTGTGCTCATTCCTCTCAATTTTAAAGTTAAATGCATATAAAGGACAAACCAAAAATAGCTAGAAATGCTGTCTTAGAGTGCTTACTATGCTACACACAGAGTGACTGGGAAAAGTGATTTAACAATATGCAGAGAACAGATACACAAATATGCTATACAACCAGCAAGAAAAAGTCATCCTGAATTTAACAACTTAGTTTGGGGAGATTGCTTTTTGGATAAAAGGACTACAAGTCTCCTTAATCAAACCCACCAGCTGTTGGCAAAGCTATTAAAAATAAATAGACTAAGCACCTGTTTCATTCATGCTCCCAGAACAAGGTAGCCTTCTTTATTTTGCAAGTTTCTTTGAGTCCACAAGACAGAAGTACGATTCTCATGGAGATCATACTTTCTTGACAGACTAGAGGTCTAATCTCAAGGCAAGGAAGTTTAAGCAACACGTTTAATTACTCCGTTCACAGAACCCTCCAGTTATATATTCTAGAATCATTTACTGCATGCTAGCATACTGTACATCTTTACCTCTTTTTAGTTTCAATTGCGCTTTGGCTACCCCCTGCAAGTTACTCATACTTAATTCCTGTAATCTTTCACCAGGAAAATCAGTTTCTCAGAACCTGATTGACATGATGACATTCATACGACATTTGATGACATTCATACAACATTTGATGACATCCACAGACCTCCCTATTCCCTTCAGTTTGATAATGAAAAATCCAGGAGCAGCTACTGTGTTTGAAGTCTGTTTTTAACTCAGCACCTGTAAGAAAAGCCTGCTAACTCTCCCCTTCACCCAAGTCTAGTCCGCTTCAGTTCTGGACAGCTGAAGAAGTACTTCCAGTCTTTCTCTGTCCCTACCCTCAAAGACAAGTGTTTTCCACCTCCTTCTTTCTGCTTGTACAGCTGCACTTCAGCTTTCTGGTCTGGCTAAAAACCTAAAACTTTCACTGGGTTAGCTTTCAGCCTGATCTTATAGGTTGCTAGTACGCACAAAATGAACGAGATGCCAACAGGTAGCTGTGATCATCCTTCTGGCAGCAGCACTATAGTAGCTTGGCTTATGACATCCATGAAGCTGCCCACTGAATAGGGGCATTCACCTCTCCCACCCCACTCTGTTCGCTGTGGTGCTCAGGCAGGCTATGAGCATGCATGAAAGCTTATCTTATAGTAAGAGACATTCCAGGTCGAGAATCTCTCTTGCTCAAAACTTTAAGCATGTCTTTTTAATGGCAACAACACATTGCCTTTAAGCCAACAGTCCTGTGAGTTATTGGATCAAAAAGTTTACATCATTAACTTCTACAGAACTCCACCTTGTTTCTTTTGGGTTAATCAGAAGGAATATAACAGCATACTAAAACTAAGCATACTTCTCCGAATTACTGCACATCCTCTAAGACATCTCAGCTGAAGACAGCAACAAAATAAGTACAGTAAGGAAAAAGTAGAAGCCAAAACCAAAACACTTAATATATCAGATATCAAGTTACTATTCTTCCTCTGTGGTCCACCAAAGTCACAGAACTTGAAAAGAGTTTCTTCCTACATGCTGTTGCTTGCTATCTTGTGAAAAAGAACGAAGCAAGTTTGACTGAGGTACAGTTGTGAATTCAGCGAGGAAACTAATAAATTCAGACAACCGGATGCAGCACCAGTAATCTCCAATTATACTTAGTACTTCCCCATGTCTTTTGCCTGGAGATCTCTACAAAAGTAACCTTGGATAACTATAAACTCTTTGTTCCTCACAAACAAAATAAGGAAAGTCTTCATCTAACAAAGACTGGAAATAAAGCTTACCATTTGGAAATTTCATTATCAGCCATAAACCCTGTTAATAAAGAATCTAGGTAAAGCAAATCTCCTTCATTTCCAGAATAGCCTTCCATTAAGGATGGTCTTGTAACTTCCTAATAAAACCTTTTGTTGTACAGCAAAGGTAAATGAACTGAGCAATTTAAGTAGTCACTAAGATTTTATTTAGACATGCAGTGTTTTATCAATCCATCTATTATTGGCATAGTGTCCTGAAAGACTGTGTATATTAATAGCCTGAAAGAGGATACACACAATGTTTATATTAAAACCTACTCAATTTCTGCAATGGTGAACTTCAGTTCCTGTCTTCCACAGTGTGTATGCACTGAACAGAAGAGCAAAATCTGAAGATGTGTAAGACTGGCCCCTCAAGTGAAAGCTCTGATAAGCTAACTACTGTAAGTAGTTTCAGATAACAATAGGAATTATTGTATCACAAAGTAAGGGCTCAGCAACTCAAATATCCACGAGTTTTCAAGGATGTGAAACCTGAATAAAAAAAAAAAGAAGAGACTAGATTGGCATGCATTTCCTCCGTTTATTTCACCAGATGCTGGAAAAAGATACAAACCCAAACAGCTATAGCTTGATTTTAGTTTATGCCCAAATTTTGATGCTTTGTACTATGCAAGGACAGTAGATTTCAATAATATAAAAACATCTCCAGCCACTTACCTTTGAGCTTCTGGAGTTCATCCCTCAGGTCAGGCCCAGCATGCATGAATATACTTTCAGACACTGGATTCTTATCAGTGAGAGATTCATTACTGGTATTTACTATGGCTGTGCAGTTCAGTAACGCTACATCTCCTTTCCTGAGGAAAGAAGGAAACAGTTTACTGCAGGCTAAATGTAAGATTAGGCAGGATATTCTCAAATAAGTGCTGACAAGGAAGAAAATGCAAAGTTAAAGGAAAAGCATTAACAGTACTCCAGTGCTCACACAGCGCAACATACCCCAATGTGCTCACCATGCAGAAACATCCTTTGCCTTTAACTGATGAGGAAAGATCACAAGAAAGAAAAAACGCAACCCAGCATTTCCTTAAAAACTCCCAATGTCAACAGTAACTTAGCAATGTATGTAGAAAAGGCAGTGTTGTAGGGCAGTTTAGCTAGCAGAACATGTGAAGCAGCCTGTTAAACTGATGGAGTGTAATATGTTCCAAAAAACATGTATTCTCTCTTGAATACGAGAGGACAGTCCTATCAAAACTTCAGCGGTTTTTTTTCAATGTACTTTTTTCAGTTTGCTTACCCACTATCCAGGACACATTACGGCTGCTGCTCTTCCTCAGGCCACTGAGGATCTAGAGCGACACTGCAACTAGACAAGTTTTCACTGCTTTTGTTCTGAAATAGTGAACCTGCAGTTTGATCAAGCCCGTTCTTCTGTTCAAGGATCAGACATGCAGAAGATAAATAAAGCAGAGATGCACAAGAGACAACAGAGTAGCAAAACTCTGTCACAGCAGCAGCCATTAGAGATTGTGGGATCAAAGAGCATAGGAAAAGAAATAAAGATTCCCATGCACTGAGAGAGATTCAAATAAGAGTTGAAACTGCACACATTTATTACACCCAAGTCCAAGTCATAAGAGATAGTTAACCTCTTACTTCTCTCTTTATTTACTGAACCAGGTTCAGGAAATCCACGAACAGTCTCATTTCCTGCATGCATTAACCAGAAAGAGGTTCAGGCTGATCCCTGAATCTGTCCTCCCAAGAAATCTGTGTCCATATTGATTTACAAAGAGTTACTCATTTAGGGCCGAGTATCTGAGTTACAGTAAACAAAACCTGATGGAGCAAGTTCAACTCAGCATGCTGAACTTTATTTTGATTAAAAACACGGAGTCAGAACACAGAATGGAGAGAGAACGGAGAAAGACAAAAAAGCACTCAAAGCAAGCCACAAGAACCACATGAAAGAAATACTGACCCAAACCAGAAAAGTGAAGTTAGAATAAAGCCAATAAAGAAAGAAGCTAGCAGATAGCAAGTATATTTTAAAAAAATTAAATTGTATCAAAGGGCCCAACTAATTTTTGATATTAAGCATACAGTATGACAGCAGGAAGCACAACTCCAGTCTGCTGCATCAACAAGTGCCTATAAACATGCAGTTTGTAATCTATGGTGTCAGACTTGCAGATTTACAGTAAATAAAAAGATTATTTTCTTCCTAGATCAGTAATGTTTGATTCAAGAAAAGAGAGTTTAAAGGCTTTATTCCACAGCAGTGATCGTTATATGAGGCAGTCAGATCCTGCAGTAAATGGAAAAGTGCTGACAAACACACCAGAGCCACACAGAACTTACCATAAGATTATTTTTGCATTGATGTCTTTCCTGTATGGAAAAGGTGATCTAACACCAACTTGAGCTTTTTCAACAGGATTCTGGTGAGAGTCCAGCTGCTTAGCCTCATAGGCATCAGCCCAGCCTGGCAGACTGTCAACATCCACAAACTGGGAAGGAGCACCCAAAGGATCCATGGAATGGAAACAACAACTCCTTTCCTCTGCTAACTTGTCACACTCCAGTTCTCACTGGAGTCTTCCAGGTGCTTTAAAGGAAGAAAATCAAACCAGCTGTTCACTAAAAGTAATTCCTGTGGAGCCAGACCTTTCACAAGACTGCAATGTAATTACTGCTAGCAGAAAACACAAAAACAGATTTCCAACTCAGCTTCTTTCTCTTTCTGTTTTGTTATACGTATGCAAAAAGGCAATGGAAATACTTGCAATAAGACAAGCCTTTTCCAATAGCACAAGATGAGAACACCTTTATTAAATAGGTCCAGCTGGCTTGCGATTGTATATTTTTAAAATGCTGAACACAAATTCCCACATGTAGAAATGACCTTGGTCTTTCCACAAATTATTATTTCTTTATCTAAACAAAAAGCAAATTTGTAGCAGGGTATGTATAATCTATTCTTTCAGAGATTTTGCTCTAGCCCTGGGTCATACTTCAAAAAGAGACCAAAAGAAAATACACTCTGCTTCAAACCACCACAACCCAAAAAAATCCTAAGCACAAAAACCCCTTACAAACAAACCAATGAAAACATTCTTCCTCCCTCTGAATCACACAACTCCTGCAGTTCAGTGAATTTTGAAGGACTGCAAATAAGGCTTACATTGCCTAGTTCTTACAGTCATGCACTTTAGTGCAAAACCCTCTCACCCAAAAAGGTTTTGCAAGAAAGAACAAAGATGTAAATTTGAACACTGGCCAATGAACTCACAGACTGAACTTTGTCATCTGACTTTTTTTTTTTTAAAGGGTGAGGTAACAGCGGTTTCTAGATAGAGACTCAAGCTTCCCAAAACAGACTTTTCAATTGCTAGCACATAACACCTAGGCTACTGCATTGTCATTTTAACTGCTAAACCATACTCGTGAACTAAGCCAGCACAAACGCACTCATAGAGGTAACTTCAGTTTGCCCCATACATGCCTACTATTTAATCTTTTTCACAGGTTCATAATTTATGATACTTTTGAAAACACAGCATCCACAAGTGGTAATTCCAACATGTGAAATATTCATTAACAAAAAAAAAATAAAATAAAAAGCCAAACTTAAACCAAGGAGAGGGTAATAAAAGCCAACACTGGGACAAAAATGGTCATAAGGGCAACTAAACGAGAATTTTGCCACGAAGAGTTGGGAGAAAGGCAGTGAGCAGTAAGGTAAGAGCAGTCAGACTGGCTCCGACCAAAAGCAAAGCTCATCCACAACGGTGCCTCCCCTCTGCCGAACAGCCAAAGCCAGGGGCCTAAGCACCAGGGCAAGAGGCAGGCAGAAGACGTAGGGTGCACACGAGCTCCTCCTGGATACCC